GTAACTCTGATGTTCCAGATAGTACTCGCGTTTTACACTGTCGTCTTGTTGACATTTTTCCAACACGTGCAAGTACTCGACAACCATGATTGACTCGACAACCCAACGATTTTAAAAATTCAATATTTTTCTTTATTAGTTGCTGCTGCGATAGCGTCGCACGATTATCCGGTTGCTCCGTCGTAGAGTATATGCCATCACTCAAATGATGGTGCACTACACTCCTGTTGAAACTCAGAGGCATTTAAAGAGTGTCAACACGTTTTTCCAGTATAAAGACACGGTCGTCGACTGAATAAAGTTCTCGAGCCAGTGCTTCCAAACGATAAATTGTGGTTGAACTGTTGTTGTTGTTGCTGTTATCACTGTTTATCAGCTGACAGCTGTTGACGGATGTTTGAAGGAGTAGTAATAGTTGCACGACTGTGACTAGTATGCACAAAAATAATCCAATTTGTGAGGAATCAAACTGTTTTATACGGTCCCATAACGTCATCGTACTTTCATCCATCCTGTTTGATGTGTAAACGCACTGTTAATTTTTCACCTCTTAGGTTGACACGTTGACCGTCCTGATCGAGCAATGCGATTCGAATCGTGTTCAATACGTTTGTGTTTAACGGATAGTAAACTACTTGTCTGGGACACTCGATAATCCGGTAGCCCGGTGGTACGTTTGGAAAGAATTCGTGCAATGTATGCGATTGACGTNCCGGTAGCCCGGTGGTACGTTTGGAAAGAATTCGTGCAATGTATGCGATTGACGTCCTCCGTGGTACGAACCAACAATTATATTGCAGTCGACTCGTATGCATGTAACCTTTGTTATAGATAACGGGAAATCCGACGTGTGTTCCATTTTCGGTTGGGTTTGGTTCTCATCAGCCATTGTTATTCAATTTTAAATTAAAAAAAAAAATAAATAAATAAATACTAGTACTTGTATACGTTTAACTGAATATTTTTAAGCAATATGTTAACGAGCCGTTAATAACGTTTAGTCAAAGAGTGACTTTAATCATTATTGATGTCTTTATAAATACGGAATGTTACTGTATTATCCGCTGCATCAGTGGTGGTGGTGCGCGGTCATTAATCGCACAAGTACATCGTATATCGCGAGCATAATGACCATAGTATTTCAAGTGGTCTGAGAAAAAATATTCAGGTTTCTACATGTTATACAGCAATTGTTACATTTTTATAAACGTCACCCAAGACAATTAATTGATAAATTTGTAAATTTGTCATTTGTAATGGCGCGAAAACATTCAGTCTTAAAGTGAAATGTTTACACATATATGTCATTAGGATTTAAAACAGATGCCTTTGTAAAAATTATGACCGTCTGCCGTCTCTAATGCGTTGACGGATGAAGAATGCAATCCTTCCAGTCGAAGCTATTATTTTATTAAAAATAATTTATTACAGTTGTTAAATACGGTAATAATTTATAACAATTGGGGGGATACCAGTAATAATTCAGACAAAATATATATGTACGACATTAATCGATAAGTATAATACAGATTATAATAATATTATAAACATTATAATATATATGTTCCAGTGATTACGTCGTCGTCGTCGGCGGCGGCGGCGGTAGTGTTTATTTAAGAATGTGTTTTGCTATAAGAAAACTTGAAAAGTCGTCATTAGTATATATTGTCAAAAAAAAAAAATATTGATTTATTATTCACTATACGAATAACGGTCAAGCTTATTAACTCGTATAATAACAATTAATCTAATTGACGGCGACATCGCCGACGCCGTCGCCGCCGCGTTGGGCCATCTGCTGTATTAATCTCAAGTGCTATAGTGTAATCATCAATACAGCCATCTGGCACACAATGTTTCGAACTAATTTTTTTCCACAAATTAGGTAAAATTAACATTTTACGTATGGACTTTATCTAAATATATGCATGTGGCATATCAAAATAGCGGATTCGACGTTTAAAATTCGTACTTTTCACCGTAACCGTATAGCTTACCTGGAAAATGCATTTTTTTTTTTTTCGTCAAAAAACCGATATTATGTATATATGGGCGAGCATAATTTAGGCGCGTGACAGGTTGTGTTAGTTTACGTCGTGTTTCATTCCCCCTCCTCCTATAGGTTTGTTTACCTTAAGTTACATTACCCTTCTCTCATAAGAATTGGAGGAGGAGGAGAGGTTCTTCTTAGGTTAGTTTACGTTGGGTTACATCATCGTTCCCCCTCCCATTGCATTATGTTAGTTTACGTTGGATTTATTCCCCCCCTCCACACCTCTTCACCTACATCACAGGTGGTGAGGTGGGTGGGTGAAGCGGTGACTGCCTTCCCCTTAACAGAACACGCATATTTCTCCCACTCTTTCCACATAGGCCACGCCTCTCACTTCCCCTATCGGGCTGAATCCTCTTTTTCACCCTACTAATATTTAAGTATATTACATAAGCTTTAATTTAATATATATGTAGTGTTTTGGTGTTTATATTTATTACAAAATACTACAATTAAAATTTATAATAATTAATACTTTTTAATATTGAAAAATGATTTTATACATACATAAAAAAAGAGTACAAAATAAAAAGTGTCACTGGATTGACGAACAGCGCGAGAATAAAAAAAATACACGGAGTGTTATCGTACTGCAGTACATCTAAGATAAAACATATAAACATATATAAACGCATTCATTGTGACATGTTATTTAACATCTTTGTTAATCCCTACATATATATAAAAGTGTCAGTATTTCCAGAACACTTTCATAAATTAATTTGAAAAAGTTCTATTTTCTATATGCATTTTTAAGATTTAAGAGAAATAGTCCAATTTAAATAAAAAATATGTCGAATGAAAGATGTATATAAATATTATTTTTCATAAAAAAATTGTATTGATCCATACATTTTTCAATATATTATAGCATTTTAAAGTTAAAAATGTATAATATAAAATCGAGAATTTTAACACAAAAATAGCATACTGTAGCCATTTTCACCTTGAAGATAAAATAAAGTCCGAAATTTTTTTTTTTTTCATGTTAAAGTAATTCACACAAGCTTCATTTTAAGGTATATATAAAAATGTCAGTATTCCCGAAACACTTTAAAAAGTTAAGTTGAAAAGATTAATTAATTGTGAAAAAGTTGTCATTTTGAATTCCCCTCTGTGGCAGGTAAGGAATCAAATTTATAAAAAAAATATATTAAATGCATCTATTATGATGCATGATTCATTTATAAAAAAAAAATTATATTGATTTGTTCATTTTTAAAAAAGTTATGGAAGTTTTAAGTAAAAAAAATGAAAAAATTTCGAAAATTAGTAATTTTTAATTTTTTTGTAGATTTCCCCTATTTACAGAGAACGCATCAAATCGTCTAATAACGTCCCCCAACCAAAAAAATTTGATATGAGTATATTTATCTCTGAAAACAGATACACATCAATCTCTCCTACGACTGAAACCGTACTCATGGACAGTGCTAATGAACATAGCGTAGAAAATATCACCAACAAAAAAAGTCTACCTCTATCAATATTTATATTATACGAACGCAAATAAACTACAATTCCTTTTGCCACAAAATGAAAGAACTCATCGACGCATCTAGTTTTTCATGCGAAAACTCCACGAAAGGTGTTAAACTGCAAACATTTAGCTCGGATTCATACAAATCAGTCATTCAATTTTTCAAAAGAAAACAAACCGTTCAGAATTGTCATCCGCAATCTCTACCCTTTAACTGATAGAGCTTATATCTCCGACGAATTAACTAACCTAGGTTACCATGTCAAAAACATAACTAATGTTCTCCACAGATCTTCCAAAACACCGTTGCCCCTTTTCTTCGTTGACCTTGAGCAAACTAAACTGAATAAAGAAATATTCAAACTCACTTCTCTTTGCTATTCTAAAGTAAATATAGAAGTCTCCACACAAAAAAAGAAATCCCACAATGCCAACGCTAATAGTTCTATGGCCACACCCGTAGTTACTGAAACCACAACCCCAGATGTGTTCACTGTAGTGAAGATCACGACTCCTCTGTTTGTAAAAAAACCCGAAATGAACTATCCAAATACGCTCTATGTGGAGGCTCCCATACAGCAAACTACAGGGCTGTCAGTTTCATAAAGGCCTACTAAAACTCAGAAAATCACTTCTTAACTCAAACATTAAAACCAACTACACACAAAATATAAATTCAGATGAAATTCACACTGAAAAAATATTAACTACTCAAAATTTTCCAACCCTTCCTCACTATAAAATTTCTCAACCTACCACTGCAAAGAATGCATCTAAGTGGACAAAATCGGATCAACTATCAAAGTCTTTTCAGATCATTTATCTTCTTTTATTAATGATCTAAAAACGCTAATCAATCCACTTATCTCACTCCTCACTGTCATTGAGAAAATTCTTAAAAATAAATTAACCAACAAACACATCTACTCGCAATCTTCTTGTGGAATGCCAATGGAATACTAAACAACATCAACGAACTATAACTANGGAGGAGGAGAGGTTCTTCTTAGGTTAGTTTACGTTGGGTTACATCATCGTTCCCCCTCCCATTGTATTATGTTAGTTTACGTTGGATTCACTTCCTCCACCCTAAGACTTGGTAGAGGAGGAGAGGTTCCTCACCTGACTTAGGTTAGTTTACGTTGGATTTACTTCCCCCACCCTAAGACTTGTCAGAGGAGGAGAGGTTCTTCTTAGGTTAGTTTACGTTGGGTTACATCATCGTTCCCCCTCCCATTGCATTATGTTAGTTTACGTTGGATTTATTCCCCCCCTCCACACCTCTTCACCTACATCACAGGCGGTGAGGTGGGTGGGTGAAGCGGTGACTGCCTTCCCCTTAACAGAACACGCATATTTCTCCCACTCTTTCCACATAGGCCACGCCTCTCACTTCCCCTATCGGGCTGAATGCCCTTTTTCACCCTACTTTAGGGAAATCTTTTAATGAGTGGTTGTCTTGTTGTACATTAAAATTCTTATTTTTAAAATTATCATATAAAAAATTACTTTTATGTGTAGATTTTTTTCGTTGTTGCAGATCTCTAAACTAATCATTAACTTAAATATCATAAACTTAAATGAATCATTTGACGTATTGTTGAAAAAAGTAGGTCTAGAGAGGGTTGGCAAAATAAATTGTAGCCACAAAAAGAACCAAATAGTAAAATAATATTAACATGAATAAANGTAGCCACAAAAAGAACCAAATAGTAAAATAATATTAACATGAATAAAAAATTTCTTCTCACGAGGGGAGACTATAGTGATAAGATCCTTTATATTTATTGAAGTTATTGAATCTAAATGAGATAAATATCAAATGATTTGAAAATTTTATTCTAACTCAAAAAAAAATGCAAAATATTAATTGTTACAGACGGATTTGAACCTCGAAACCTAAGCGTGAAAGACACAGGTGTTAGCCATTCGGAAACTGTTCGTTGCTTTTGTCGCATGATAAAATTAGCTATTTAAGCTAACTCAAATTTAAAAATTACTTTTTCGACTTTAAAAAAGTAAAAAATTTTAATAAGTTTAATTTCGTATGTCTAATGAACTTTATTCTATGTCAATTAAATTATATAACATTCATGAAAGTCAGTGCATTCCCCTAATAAGATATTTAAAAATAAAATAAAATACAAAACCCAGAATTTTAATAAAGAAATAGCATATTTTTGAATACGGTAGTCATTTGCGCATAGAAGATAGGTCGTCTGGACAAATTTTTTTTTTTTCATTTTATAGTACATAAAATAAGCTTTAATTTGAAATATGTTTAAAGGACGCAGTATTTCCGCAACATTTTTAAAAGTTCAGTTGAAAAAGTTAATTTTTGAAAAAAGTTGCTATTTTAAATCCCCCCCAATGAGCAGGTTAAGTGTTAGATTTTCAAAAAAATAATATCAAATGAAAGGTAAATATCTAAGGTTTTAGTATAAAAAAGAATTATGTTGATTTGTTGATTTTTCAAAAAGTTATGGAAGTTTTAAGAAAAAAATTTTCGAAAATTAGCGATTTTAAAATTTGTGTTTTTTTTGGATATTTTCCCCATTTGCGGGGAACGAGGAAATTTTTTTCAATTTTTAAGGGTATTGTCTTCAACTAGATACGATTTTTGATCTATTGACATATTGTTCATCAAAATCGGTCCAGCGAGAGCTGAGATTGAGCGTTCACAGACACAAAAAAAAAAAATAAAAACACATCATAGTAAAATTAAAACCTTCTCAGCTTCGCATCGAATCTAATAGCGACATAAATCAACTATTTATCAAATGGTAAATAATTAAAAATATATGAATAAGCTTCTAAAAGTAAAGGAAAATACTTAATGTAATTATTATTTTAGTATTAATGTTTTGTTATTTATATAACTGTGTAACTAAATTTTCATTTATTAAAGCTATCAATATTTAAAATGATTGTAAAATGATATATTTATGCGTTACTTTAAAAGCACTCAAACAAATAGTGACATAAATCAACTATTTATCATATGGTAAATAATTAAAAATAAAAAACTATTTAAAAATTTATGAAATAGCTTCTAGAAGTATAGGAAAGTACTTAAAGTAATTCTTATTTATTAATATTAATATTCTGTTAGTGTTTATGTTAATATAAAAAAAATGATTCTTTTAAAATTTATATCATTAATCCACATTCATTTAACGCTTGGATTATCCTTTTATTATTTACAGTGTAATTTTATGATGTATATGTTAAATTATTTTAGTCATAACAATCAATATTTAATGGAAATGAGTAAAAATATAAAAAAATATGATGTGCTTAGTTTAAATAAGTATGGCGATGCAATAAAAACTCATGGAGAAATCGTACTAGTAATGTTAGATGTTTTAAGAGAAGCTGATATAACATTATACTCAACAGAATTGATGTCAGTAAATTTATACTTAAACAACGTATCCGAATATGTAAATTTTTATGCTAGAAATAATGAAGGAATATATGATTTGTCGGATCAAACATCAAGCATTCTTAAAGGTTACAAGATTGTTCATGATTTTTTTTTAGAACAGTTAAAGAAAAAGATATTAAAACTTTGCAGAAATGTGATATATGACCAAATATTTATTTATTGCCCCGATTACAACAAATCAGGAGAATATACTCCCGAAAATATTCAACATGTTGCAAAAAAACTTAAAAATCGATTAATGCAAACTGATAAGCAACAAAACAACACTGATTATTACATAAAAAAATTAGAATATAGTATAGTATACAATACTTTTAATAAAGCTATTAAAAGATCTAAATATTGGGAGCTTTTACCAAAAAATTTAATATTTTATGACTTAATAACCAGAAATTGTGAAATTTCTGAAAAAGAAATAATGAGAGGTTCTCAGGATAAACAATATCCATTGTTCATAAACGGACGAAATGATAATGTCTTAGATATAATTCGATTTACACCACTTGCAATAAAATGTAAAGATAAAAGTAGCTTGACTCTTTTTGATATATTTAGATACGTCAAGTATACTTTTTATAGAAAAGATATAGAAGTATTTCATACACTAATGCTAACAGCAACATTTCGTCCTATCGCTATACTTGTAAGACTCTTCATTAGAGTTCTTAATTCATCAAATTACATTTACGATGACTTTAGTAACCAAGAAGAATATTTAAAATTGTATACAAATATTATTTCTGTTGGTGAAAGAATAATTGAATGTTTTCAAAACTTTATCGATATGAATCTATTTGGTGACGGCCCTAGTAAAGTCTTTTCTAAATTTTTTATGAATACTTCTGAATGCTTATGGTATTTTAGGAATAAAAATATACCAAATCTCAAGTCATCAACTATAAAATTGATGGATGCATTAAAATCATTTTTTTATAAAAACAGAATTGACTTTATTGATCTACCTGAAATCTTTGCAAAGGATATTTTCAACAATTTATTTAATGAATTAATAGTTAACCTGAAACAAGTAGAAGCATTTCTAATAAAATTAAACTCTCATAAGGAAATCTTTGAAGTGACTACAAAATCTTTTGATATTAATCACATGTTAAATATAAAATACACATGTGTTTTTAATAGATTTATATTAGGTAAGTAAACTTCATTTAATTATTATAATACTGTTTCGACGTATTTATATATCAAAATTATAATAGCTTGACACAGATATAACCTTTGGTACAATAATATTTTACTTTAATTTCTTTTCAAATAATTTTTATACTTGAAAACTGTAAAAAAATAATATAACGTTTTTAATTTATTTTTAAAAAAATTACGAATAACGTAAAAAAAATATTTTAGAATAGCTATTTTGAACAAAAGATTAAAAGAAAAAAATTTAATGTTCAGTAGTAAAAATCTGTAGAATTTTAAAGTTTAATACTCATTATCAAATATTAAGTTTTTAAATTTGTCATAAAGAAATGTAAGTACGATCATCTTTTATTTTTAGATGAGTTATGTAAAACTACAGATATTTACACATTATTATATAAATTCAACGATGATTATGTCAAACAAATCAGTGAATTCAAAGAACAAAGTGCAGCCATTGATGATGAAAATAGAAACGAAATTATTAGTCATCAAAATCATTCTGAAAAAAGTATAAATGATAGTGATAGATACAAATTAAATAAATGCTATATTTATCCTAGATACTTGTTAAATTACATATTGTTTATATAAATTATATTAAGTAAATAACTGAGAAAGTATTAAATAATTTCGATATTAGAATAGTATAAGTTTTAACACAGTAACAGGCAATTTTTAAATTCTTAAGTTATATAATAATGTCATATAAAGGGAAAATGTAGGGTAAGCAAATTAACAATGGTGGAAATATGTAAGAGGAAACATGAAAATTAATGGGGATTGAACGTTTTGACTAAGAAAGGTCTAGTTACGGGTCTAGACAATTAGTGCTTGTAACTTTGTATTTTGAACGACTTAATTTATATTGTGTTACATTTTAATATTGTATTTTGATTTTGTGTTTATTAAGTTCCCTTAATAAAAGATAACTATTCAAAAACCTACGCTTAGTGTAAATATTTTATATCCACCATATTATTAAAACTGAGTGTGTGTGCGGCTAGAGACAAGGTTGGAATGTTGGTCCTATAGTCGATCTTAAAAATCATTGTGCATGCTGGCTAGAATTTTGAGCTTAACCGTCCTTTAGTAGGTATAATGACAAGGTAGTTGTGCTGGTGGCTTACGAGGAGCCACTCTTCGGTCTAATACTTTTGAACTAGATCGTGCTGACGGGTCCAAAAAGTTGTAGATTAAAAATTTTTCTTGTCTTAATAATTTCTTTTTTCTCTTGTCCCTTAATTTCCAGAGTGGTTTTTTCCTTCGGGTTTTGATCACTGTGAACTTAATATTCATAATTTAATAAAGTTTTTTCAATAATCTTAATGAACAAAAATCTTTTTATTGCGTGAATATTCATGTGTTTCTTATTTTTTTTTGCCTCTAATAATTCTTTCTACTTTTAAGGTAACGGTCTACAATATACTAATGTACAATTGGTGACATCAAATTCAACAACAACACTTTATATTTTAGTCTTCTTCTTCTTCTTTTTCCTCGCCTTAATCCTAACTATTTGAGGTCAACCACCCTTATCCTAAACTTCCACTTGACACGATCTCTCACATCATCTACGTCACATCAGCTGTCCTCATATCGCATTCAATAGCATCTCTCCATTTCTTTTTTGGTCTTCCTCTATCTCTTCTTCCTTCAACATTCATTTCTATAACTTTTCTTATAGCTTCCGATTCTTCTCTCCTCATAAGATGACCAAACCATCTAAGACTATTTTTTCTCATCTTATCCAAGATTGACGCTACACTTATATATTTGTTCTTTATTCTATCATTTCTAGTCACTCAACTAAGCATCCATCTAAGCATTCTCATCTCTGATAAACTCATTCTCTGCTCTACTTTCTTATCAACCGCCAACACTCTGAACCATACATCATAGCTGGTCTCACTACAGTCTTGTAGAATTTACCTTTCATCCTCATAGGAATTCTTTTATCGCATAGGACACCAAACACTTCTCTCCACTTCAACCACAAGCACTTAAACCTGTGTCTTACATCCTCGTCAATATCACCACTCTTTTCACAACTGATCCTAAATACTTAAAACTTTCCACCTCTCCAATCACTTCCTATCCTATTGTCACTGGTCTCCTTATTTCACCTACATCGTATTCTCCTTTATCAAACTCGTACTGTATATACTCTGTCTTACTTCTACTTATTCTTAAACCCTTTTCTTTAACAGCTAATCTCCACGCCTCTGGCCTGTCCAATCCATTTTCTCCTATTAACACTATATTGTCAGCAAACAACATGCACCACAGCTTTGTGAGGAGCGGGCCGGGGGTTCGGCGCATTATCCGGGCAGCGGTCATTGCTCGGCTTAGAATGTAGAACTTTTTCAACTTAACTTTTGAAAATGTTCCGGAATGACTGACACTTTTATATATATATTAAATTAAAGTTTATGTAACATACTTTCATTTAAAAAAAAAAAATTGACCTCTGGACTTGTGTTCGTGGTGAAAATGGACATCAAAGTTAAAGAAAAACGTACGATTTCCATGAAAAAATTGTCGATTTTATATTTTATATTATGAAATTTATAATGCTATAACTTTTGGAAAAATATATGGATCAATATTATTATTTTTTTATAAATAATTANTTGGAAAAATGTATGGATCTATATTATTATTTTTTTATAATAAATATTGATATACCCCTTTCATCTGGCACGCTTTTTTTGTAAATCGGATCATACCCCTTTAACAAGGGGGGTCAAAACTTTAAACATGCGTATTGTTACTAAGATATTTTCAATTTAATTTTTGAAAGTATTCCGGAAATACTGACACTTATATATATATCTTAAATTAAAGCTTATGTAATATACTTTAATTTGAAAAAAAAAAATGACCTCTAGATTTGTCTTCATGGTGAAAGTGACTACCATATTTAAACATATGCTATTTTTGTGTTAAAATTCTGGGTTTTGTATTTTATTTTATTTTAAAATACCTGACAAGGGGAGTACAGATTTTCATAAATATTATATAAATTAAAATTAATATAGCATAGAAAGTTAAACTTATTTAAATTTGTTTGCTTCTTTTTAGTCGAGAAAAATAACTTTGAAATTTGAACTAGCTTAAATAGCCAATTTTTTCAATTGACGGTACCAACGCTGAGTTGGTAAAACTTAAGTCAAACACGCTTGGGGTACGAGGTTCCAACCCGTGTATGGCAATGCATTTTTTCTTAATTCTTTTTAAGTTAGTATAAATTTTTAACTCGTTTGATTTTTATCTCATTTAGATTCAATAACTTCAAAAAGANTCATTTAGATTCAATAACTTCAATAAAGATCAAGAATCCCATCATTTTAGTGGCCCCTTGAAAGAAGAAATTTCTTATTCGTATTAAAATTATTTTACTATATTTTAAGTTTTAGCTTCGATGCAAAGCTGAGAAGATGTTTTTTTGTGACTATCATTTATTTTCTCTGCTCTAACTTGACCTACTTTTTTCAACGATACGTCAAATGACTACAATTCGTATCTGGTTGAAGATATAAATTTCAATTTATCAATTAAACAGTTAGTTAATCCATGTTCTCCATAAAGACAATTAAAATCATTCATTTCTAATGTTTTCAAAGTATTTATTGACGAATTAAGTTTGATATGATAGGTTTCAAATGCAAAATTTAATCATTTTACTTTGTAATTTTTTTACTCTATTTGTGTGTGCTACTACTAGACTATAATATTACAAATTTTTTGGTAACATGTTGCTAAATAAATCATTTCTAAAAAAAATGATTGTTTTTTCTCCTGAATTAACAATTGATTTTTTCAAATATAATCAAATTTTATAATACGCTCAATTGAGTAAATCTTTTTAACAACTTTGTTTTGATTGGTACATTTAGTTAAAGTAAATCATTAAAATTAATTAAGTTCTCAATATTTCAATTATAGAATCTTTTCAACAAACAACAAAAGTTCCTAGGAAATTATTACTATTACTTCTATTTAAGTTATCTATTACCATAAAAATGCAAAAAAATATTGAGCTTTTCTGATAAATATACAATAAATAGTAATTATAAAACTTTCTGACTGCATATTGATCTTAATGATTTAATTTTTTTTAATGTCATAAAATTTTCTATTGAATTCTAATTTATTGTCTGATTTATTTTATTCTTTTTAGTAATTTTTTTTATAGCAGATTTATTGGTCAGTATTTTTTCTTTGTCCAACTTTTTTATTTTTACTTTTTAGTGCATATTATTAATTATTAAGTATTATTTGATAATAAATCCGAAAGTTAGGTAGTTCATATGAAAACATGTCGAAAATTACCTATTTTTTAAATTGTAATTTTTTGGGGGTTTTCCCCCATTTACGGTGAACGAAGGAATTTTTTTCAATTTTTGAGGGTAATAACTTCGACTAGATACAATTTGTGATATTTTGCACATATTGTTCATCAAAATCGGTCTTGCAAAAGTTGAGATCGAGCGTTCACAGACAAAAAAAAACACATCATAGAAAAAATAATATCTTCTCAGCTTCACATCGAAGCTAAAAACTGTACAGTAATTTATTTATCATGAGCCACTTAATTAATGTCAAAGATAACAATTTTTTTTATTAGTTTCTTATAGTTATATATTTTTCTTAAATTATCAGTCACGAAAATTTTTTTATTTTCATTCATTATAACTCATAAGGGTGTCAACCTTAATTTGCGAGGGTCCATATATGAGTCAGGTATTTTAGTCCTACATTGAAGATATTTTAGATACATAAAAATGTATTCTAATTTTTACATTGAGTAGCATAAAAAAAATATATTTGACTAATATCATTTTTACTTAAAATAATAAAAAAAATTTTTAAAGAAATGAAAAAATAGAATTTTTGTACAGTCTATTAATAAAATGCATGTATAAATGTCAATATTTATATAACATAATAATAAATGTCTGACATAATGGTTTAGTTTTCAGAAATTATATTTTATACGCAGACATAAAGTGAGCCTTTTACGAAACAGGACACGTAATCAAAAAATGAAGGAAAACATTTTAATTTTTTTTCTAATTTTGAGCGTGGATGCTAAACATAGATCACACAAAATTAAGCAATTAAAGGTGAGTCCTAGTCAATATCAGATTAAGGAAAATGTAAAAATATTAAATAAATTCTTTGAAAACCCTGAATGGCAGAATTTTAAAGACATTAAAAAGGTTAAATATCTCAGAAAAGAATATACTAAAGAGAAAATTTCCGAAATACAAATCAAATCAAAAACAATTTATATTAATACACGTGTTGCAACTTTGTTTCTTGCATGTACATATGGTAAAATTTTGAAGAAAATACTCTTCATCATCAATCATTTTGTTCAACATTGTAAAAAATCTTTTGAAAATAAGTATAATAACTATGGATACTTTTGCACTAACATATTTTTAGACACTATATATAATTTAGTTCCAATGACAACGAAAATGAAAGGCGCCATGGACGCTATTGAAAGCTTTCATTATAAACCTTGGTATAATAATAGGACCACACATTATATTTTTAGTAAAACTTTTACATTATTAAAAGAAATACCGGAGAATTATAAGAAGTCGTTAATTTCACAAAATGATCCATTATCCAATAAAAAAATATTAATATACTGCAATCGATTTTTTTCAGATAGAAAAAATGAAGTCGAATTAGACATAAATATGTTTTGCGAAGTAGTGCCAGAATGTTTGAAATCAGCGTGGGCTAATTTATTAGAAAAATATAACAATATTTTGAAAAATAAACAAGAGATCTATTTTTATGATTTCCTGCATAAAGAAATTAATGAAATTATTAAATCATCTATTGAAGAAAAATATGATAAATTTGGATTCACTTACGATCAGGATACTATTATTAATCAAATGTTACCACCAAATCCTAAAAAAAGGAGATTGACATCACATAAATGTATTCCAGACCTTAAAGTAGAAACCATACCATAATAACGACTATACTCAATTTTTATTAAAAGATTATATCATCTCTTAAATATTTCTTCTATTATTACATTATTTTTAATTTTTGATTTATTACATGGTAAATAATAAAAGAATCACTTTGCATACTAATATAGTACTAGCTATTTAAAATTATCAGTAAACAGGAAGTATGTGACATTATTCAATTAATTGCAAGGTTGTTAATAATTCCACTCTGATTATTGGATTTTAATACAATTTTACTTAATAAATTTACCAGCCTTTAATAATATAATATAGTAAAGTTATTTTCTAAGATTGGTACATTTTAAAAATGGTTTTTGTATGCAAAATAATGTTTTCGTTAAATTATGATTTTATTTTATAAAAATGTATAAATTATTATTTTATTTTATTTTATAAAATATAGTAAACTAGGCTCCGCCCCAGACCCGGAGCCCTAAGAGCCTTACTCGACTTCGGCGCGTAAGCCTCTTAGGGCCGTAAACATTATTCTTAACGATACAATTTTTTTTAATGTCATAAAATTTTCTATTTAATTATGTCAATGTCAAACTTACCAATTGAGCTAAAAGTTATGGTAAAATAAATTTTTTTTTTTTATTATAAACATTTACTACAATCAACTTTAAACGATTAAAAAAATAGGTTAAATATATCATTTTCCTTATTTTTAACTTATTAATAATCAAAATAAGTATTAATTTAAAACAATTTTTTTTGTTCTTAATTATTTTTTTTTATATGTAAATACTATTTTTTAATAATATTAAAACTTAGAAGTGATAGAAAAAGTCTAATTGCACATTTGAAAACATTGCGAAAAGTTGATTTAGAATAGTATATTTTTGTTTCTGATGAAAGTTCCTTGTAGT